TTAGCAGTTTACATGGTTTCGAAAGTGATATATTTTTGTGTCGTAGTGATGAGTTTGAATTATGTCGATTATTCGATTGTTATATATATAAATAAACATCGATCTTCGGCGAAGATAAAGTAAGAACAACATATATATCCGAGAAACATGTTGGTAAGTACAGTATTTCATTTATAATGGCAGAAAATCAAATTGAATCGAAATCGAATTTTCAACTTTTTCAATTTTTTTTCGTTCGATTATTTTGATTTTCAATTTGATTTTTACATTCTATCTTCTTCGTCCTGCGGGACTATACTAGGCATAGGCCCGGAACATGTATAACATGAGTCAAATTCACTTAAATAGAACATGCTGTAAGCTTTATTTCTTTACATTTTTACGGGCCTATGCCTGGGCTATGACTCTAGGCCTAGACTACTAGATCTATAGGACTTAGACTAGCCTAAAGCTAGAGCCTTAGATCTAGCTCTTTCAGAGGCTGTGACTGATATGTTAGAACAGCCTTTAGAGCCCCCTATCAACCGCTTCAAAATTGTGTTAGTGCCTCCTTGCGAAAATCGAAAAAAATTAAAAGGTGCTTCTGTGCCGAACAGCAAATTCTCATTATACATTGATAAGCTACTCTTTACCAAGAAACCAAAAATGGAAGTTTTGACGGAAAGACATGACGTACAAGTCAAAATCTCTGAATCTTGCTAGGTACATGACAGATAAAGAGAATTTAAATCCTGATCGGCAAAAAAGCGGCTAATAACTTACATATTTTCTCAACAAAAAGCACTGATGTAGCTCACATTGGGAGATAGTAGTAAGCACTTGAAGTTGATTTCAGTAGATCAGTTACACCTGTCATGATTTCAAGGAAAGACACAAAGTATCCGTCAAAAGAGAAAAGCTTACATAAATGCGAGCAAAATCTGCAGATTTATTATAGCTATTGACTTCTCGAATATGTTGAACGCACAACTCTAAACAATACTTGAAATTGAATAAAATTGACAAAATATGAGAAGACAGTCTAAAACCTAACTGGGAGAGCTGCCATTGTTTGCCCGGAAATCTTCAGAGATTTTGACTGGTACTTTGTGTCTTTCCATCAAAATTGCCATTTTGGTTTCTCGCTGGGTAATTCACAGATGAAGAGAAATCTTGATTGACAAAAATACAGCTGATAGCTAACAGCTTTTCTTAAACAGAAGATAAAGGAAGATATAAAGGAACCTGTTATGATTTTGAAGCGGGTGATAGCCGATAGGGGCATGTTAAGGCTGTAAGTAGAGGGTGTAGCCGAATAAATCTAACCCAAATAGAGTTTAACACATCTCAGTATAGGCAAAATTAAAATTCATTAAAGTTTCATCACTTTAGCATGTATATATTTGCTGGCCTTCTAATATTTTGCCAATAGATTTGTTAGGCTTGATTGCAAATTCTTATGAAATATAAGAGTGTATGGTTTCAATGTACTTTACTCCCGATATTTTTCGCGTGCAATTTAGTTTCGTGCTTTTCGCGATTGTGTAAAAATCACGAAAATTAATAGTCGCGAATATCGCCAATTAAAGGCTGAGGTGCAACATGCCATTGACTAAGATCTAGAGATTGTAAATCTTATCCAAAGTATATGATATTGGGTAGGTGTAATTACTGTAGATAAGATAAATTAATTTTGAGGATTCAGAGAATAATGGAAGTTAAACCTTTGATATCCGCAAAATTTAATGGTCGCAAAATTGGTATTTCTCAAAATTCATGAAATTTAAACTCGCAAATTAACCGGTAGTACAGTATTTGCATGTGGAATAATTATGATATTGAGAGCATTGATGAAACAAATGCAATTAACTGATTTGATTGGCCAAGGGAGCATTGGAATTTTGACCTGAAGTTCACATGATTGTTGCTATAGGCCTTATGATTTTTTGGAATTCCAGTAATACTATTAATGTCTATTATACTTATACAGTAAAACCTGTCTTATCCAAATGCCACCGCTACAAATTAAAAACATTCAGATTTAAACGTCTGATTTCGAGGTTTTTGCATCCGAAAGATTCTTGATTTTGAAAAAATATTAATGCATTTTCACTTAATATTACTAGCATTGTAGGCGTTATGATTTTTTGGAATTCCAGTAATACTATTATACTTATACAGTAATATCTGTCTAATACTTATACAGTAATATCTGTCTAATCCAAATGCCACCATGACCAGTTAAAACACCATGACCAGTTAAAAAAAACATTCAGATGTGGAGGTGATCGGATTTCGAGGATTTTGCATTCGCAAGATTCTGCATTTTAAAAATATAAATGCATTTTCACTAAAAAGTATTAAGATTACTTTTGACCGCATAGCTTTATGACATTCCAAAATCCAAATCGAATGCTTGAAAGGTAAAACAGAAGTGTGCAATCAGAGATGATAGATACTATTGCATGAATATATGAAGGCCATGTGTCAACTCTTCGATTGATAATACGCCTCGAAATAAACACCCACTGGCTTGGGAAAGCTATTTTCCCTCTTAATAAATGCCTGTCCCCTTGGAAAAATGTTTTCAATTTCCCTCTTAGTCTTAATAAAAGCCAATGGCATTTATTTTGAGTTCTTTCTAATAAAGGCCCTGTGCAAAATAAATGCTCAGTGGGCCTATATGTTCGTTGAATTTAAAATTTCCCCTTCTACTCAATTTTTATAAATGTTTTATGCATCAGTATGTTGCATTTGGAGACACAAATAAACTCTTAAAAGGAAAATATTTTCTCTTTAGTATGTTAACTTTGTCTACAAATGAAACATATTAATGTGAAAACATTATAAAAAAATGGAAGGAACTGAAAATCAGGAAAACATTTTTGAAAAAAAATGTTGATGGGGTCTTTGCACCTTCCCTGTCTCAATCTCCAATTTTTTTTATCATCTGTATGAGTACTTTTCCTTTAGATAATGCATTGGCCTAACATACACACCTTACATTTTCAGAAAATTTCTGCAATTCAACATATGACCGTCTAAATTCTGTTGCGAAACCTTTAGTATTCTTTCAAGAAATTTCCTGCTTACATGAAAGTCTTTTACAGTTTTACATTCTGTTTTTTTTTTAATGTGACATAATGGCTGATACCAATATTGTTCAAAGTTGTATATGTTTACACTATGGAACTAATCATTCTTTGAATTGAGTTCGATTCCTGAACAACTGGATATTTGACTAAACATTCCTTGGATTTGATTTGGTTTGATGAAGAGAAATCTTGACTGACAAAAATGCAGCTGATAACTAACAGATTTTCCCAAACAGAAAATATAAAAAAAATTTAAAGTGAGCACTTGATTTCATATTTAGTTTCACCTATGCTTTTGAAGCAGGTGATAGCTGATAGGTGTCATGTAAAGGCTTTAAGTACATGGTATAGCAATAATTAAAGGTAAGAAGGTACTGTTTCATTCATATTTCTTGGTTTTAAAAACATTTAATCAAATAAGCTGGAATTTTTTTTGAGAAATGATATGATGGTGAAAGAAATAGATACAAAATTATAAAAAATTTATAATTAGCGAAAATTGATATCCGCTAAATTTCAAAATTGCAAAATTGTGAAAGATAACAGCATCAAATATTAGTGGCAGTACAGTATTTGCATGTGAAATAATTATGATATATTAATATAATAATATAATAATTGATGAAACAATTGCAATGAACTGTTTTGATTAGCCAAGGCCAGAGCATTGGAATTTGAACTAAAGTTGAGTATAATGTTATTGTATAAATTAAAAAAATAATTATAGAGACTTCTTACAAAGTTGATCTTCATTTCAAATAGCTGAGAATATTTCCCAAAATAGATTGACTAGGCCTTCAGATTTTTTTTAATTTCAGTATTACTATTACTCATACAGTAAAACCTGTCTAATCCAAATGCCACCGTGCAGTTAAAAACATTCAGATTGGGAGGTGTTCGTTATCACAATAGATTATAATTATATCATTGATAATTTAGAGTTTATTCAAAGATGGCAGCAGCATTCTCAGAACAAAACAATCAGAATCTCATTAATCTTTTGTTCACGTTAGTTATTTAAACTTTATATTCATATATAGATGGCAGTTCTTAAATATATGATAGACACCAATAATTCAACATCATAATTTAACCTTTTCCATTAAATATACCCTGTATCAAGCACAGAAACGTATTTACACCCTTTACTAAAATGGCAACCCCTGTATCACGCACTTGTTTCTTACTAATAATATTAGTAATATTATACAAACAATTGCAAGCATCCATCACAAAAACAATATAGAATTCTATACACACCAGTGGTCACTTTACACACGAACAATTTCCACATTTGCATTATAATTATTGAAAGGAATAGACCTGAAAAATGGAAACTGAGCTACTCATTTTCCCAAAAAAATCCATAAAAGTAATGTGTTGACATCTGATAAAAAAAAAAAATTAACATCACTGTTCTACAACTAGTTACTTTGAAGGAACGTCAATGTAACAAAATGGATGAACTTCCTGGTTATGAGATTTTTGTTTTCTCGATTTTAACCTTCTTACAAGTCAAGTTGCAGATTGTGATTTGGCACAAAGCTAGAAAATAAAAAAACGAGAAAATAAACATGATCAATAACAGCATTTTTAAAACCATATTGATGTACATACTATAACTCATTTGAAATAACTTTCTCAATTACTATTTGGTCATACGTATATAAAGTTTAAAGTATGAAATAAAATAAATTTAAAGATTATAATTATAATTTGTGCGTTGCTTTTTTCAGCAGGCACTGCGACTGCGTGCATGTTGTACCATTTTATATGTTCATAATACATATACGAGTATATGTGTATAATATATATATATTCTGTTTAATACATTATTACAAAAAGTTTGTACTCTTGCATCAACCATATCCCCCATCTCCAACTATCGATTCCAACAATTGGTTTTGAAATATTTACCCATTTCAGGGGTTTCACTAGAATTTCTCAAAACAGGCTAAATAAATGAAAACAACAGGCAAAATTAACTATTATTTAACATTGAAAAGACCCTAAAAACATCAGGCCATTTTGTGAAAACAACCGGCTTAAATTGCCTGTACCTGCTGATAATGAAACTCCTACATTTGAGAAGGGGGAGGGGGCATGGGAGGCAACATGGGAGGGGAGGGGGTATGGCTTGATGCAAGATTGTTGGGCTCCTTGCAATTATTAGTCCCACCTGCCAAAAACAAACAGTCAGTTATTCATCATGTACAAACACATGATTATAATGTTAATGTCATGGTATTATGTGATTAATATCATCTCATTAATCAAACGCAATTTTTTTTGTTATAATTGTTGTGTTCACTTATTTCTGAGGAATCCTTTAGTGCAGTTTTCCTTAACTGAAAACAATCATATTCATAGTCTCTTTATTTCATTTTTTGTATTTGTTCATGTGACACCTGATAACGAAGAATCTCTTGGAGACATTTATTCTTCTTTTACATCAACAGCAATATGATGCCAGGAGTTATTGAGCAACCCTCGCAAATTCCAAATTCCCTGCACTGAATCTGGCTGAACATTGTACGAGTCATCGACACTCTTACAGATAATCTCCATCTTCTTGCCATCAGCTGGAATCGGTAACTCTACTTCCCATAGTGACCACGCCCATGCTCGATACGGAGTTTGATGCTCTTTTTGCAAGGTAGCAACCTTCCATGTTTTCCCGCCATCCCCAGATACATCCACTCTTATTGTATCACGTCCTCCTCCACTCCACGAATACCCCTTAACAACAACAGTTTCCTCCGAACGATGAACTTCGCTTCCATTTTTTGGCTGACAGATCGCGGACTGACATGGATAATCTTGAACAGCGACAGACTTCTTGAAATCGACAGAATCCCAATCAACAGATGGTGAAAATCCTTTATAATCATTCTGTTGCCAGTGACTTTGACTTTCAATGTCGCTGAGGATTATTTTGGATAGCCATTTAACATTGCGCGCCCCCACCACTCCCGGGACTATCACCCTCAGAGGAAACCCATGGTCCCCTGGAAGCTCCTCTCCATTCATTTTATAAGCCAACAGTACATCTCCAAATGGACCTACAAATCATGTCAAACTTTGATGAGATATGACTGTCTAAAATCACTTGTTAGTTCTAATTTGAATCTTTTTTTGTTGAATGACTTTTTTCTTATTTTCTCGTTTTACCTCTATTACTTTCTTGATATACATAAAAATTAAAAATATAGAAGGCAGGATTGATTATATTTTTGCATAAATACACTACATGTATATTAAACAAGGCATCAATGTGCAACATGTCACCACCTGCCATTTGATACAGACACCGAACACCATCCACAAAAAAGTTGGGAACCATAACAGAAGTGGTGACATAAAAACCCAACCCAATTGTCTATCTTAAATTAACGTGACTTCTAATCTTTGTTATCTGTCACCCTCTTAAGAATGTTGTCGTATTTGAGTCACCTTCACCTCAAGGCTCAAATGGCACTTATATAATATCAGGTTATCTCAAGGTCATGTTATCAAACATTTTGAGAAAGCATAAGGAGATTGTGCTTGAAAAGTTCCCCTGTACTATAGTATTTTGCCTCTTGAAATGTAATAGGTAGGGTAATAGCCCACTGGCCACCCCCCCTCTTTGATAGGCCCAGAAAAAAAAATTAATGGGCCTTTTGTGCATAATTTTAGGCCATATTATTGAGAAAATGGGCCTTAAATTTTCAAAAGGACGATTCTCGGTTTGGAGAACAGTCTCCTGGGCTAATAATTTTTTTCATGAAAAATATAGAAATATTACCCAAATTAAACTATGAATATTCAAAAGAGGACATTTAAATCTACAAGATGTAAAAATAACAAATTGGTCTGAAGCAGGGATAACGCTCAATTAGACAGATTCAATAAAATACAAGTCTGGATTTTTGGGGAAAAAAGCTCATCAGTGTACTGCGCTAATATTTTTTTGCGAAAAATCTAGAAATATTACCCAAATAAAATTATGACTATTTAGAAGAGGACATTCAAATCTATATTATGTAAAAAAATCAAATTTGTCCGAAGCAGAATGAATGATTTCATTTAGATTTCCGAAGCAGAATTAATGAATGATTTCATTTAGATTGATGAACTTCGTTCTCCAAACCGAGAATCGTCCTTTGGGCCCACTTTTTGGTTTTGAATATTTTTTTCAGACTTCAAATATGCCCCCTCCCCTGTTGTTGGTTCCTGTATCCACCCCTGTAGCCCTCCAGGCATAGTTGAATATTCCCTCAAAAATATATAGAGATTATCCTATATGAGGTTCAGGATATTGGGATTATCCCAAGGCTAATATAATTTATCCTATGCCAAGTAGAGTTTTAGGGAGATAAGTTTGGTGCATATCTTCCCGCTTCGGTGCATATCTTCCCGCTTCCGGTAAGTAGTGGAAATGCAATAAAATGACTTTGCATATGAATGATTTGTTTATTTTTACACCTTGTACTATTGAAATGGCCATATGCCCCTGAAAACTCTACTTGGTATAGGATAAAGCAGTTATGTACGGACGGTTAGGATATTGGGTTCATCCCTCGTGAGATATGCACATCTACCTTCGGTCCCTACGGTCCCTCAGGTAGATATGCATATCTCCCTCTGGATAAACCCCATATCCAAAACCTCCCAGTACATAACCCTTATATATCTGCCTGAGGGATGTATGTCCCAAGGGTAGATATATCATATTGGCCAAGGGATAATCTAAATATCCTGATGAACCGACTATAGGATGATCTGTTTATCCCATACCAATCTTGGTCCTTTTGATCATATTGTTCAATTGGCCACAGTTCAGAAAATTTCCAACCAACCATAGAATTATTTTAGAATATTCATGTCCAGTTTTGTTTTCTTGGCCATGGCTGATTTAACCTAAGTAAGTCAAGTTGCATCATTTGACTCTTTAGAGAATTAATTAGTTGGGGAACAGTGAAATTTACATTTTTTTATTCTTACCCAATGCTTTCTCAATTGCTATAGAAGCCCCATAAGGTGCACCAGTTGGATCCTTGTCAAGACCTTCAAACTGGACATGTTTTATCTCATCATTTGTGAGAGTAACACCTGCAGATTGGAGAACATCTCGCAGCAGTACACCAGTCCATCTAGAAATAAACAATGCAGATACTGTACATTAGGGCAAAACATTTATTCCACTAAAACTCAAGTTTGCATTTATGCCGGGTATGAATTTGTCAAAGTCAAATTCTATAAAAGATGGAACCCTGCATTCTACCTATTTGATACATTCTCAAAACATATTATACAAATAAGGCTGTTATATTTACTGTAGGGCAGTCTCAAATAAGATATGTGTTGATCAGGTTTACAGTGACACAAATGCTATATGTATGCGTTAAGCTTATATTGCCCTTCAAAAGATTGACAAGTTTATGACCATATCAATAGAAAAACAAACACAGGAATGTCTCCTTGAAGAAGCCCTACATTTGTTATTGTAAAGTTTTGTTGAATTTTGGTTGGGGTTTCGTAACTGTGATAAGGAAACATCAATATGCCACTAAAACCTGTCTAAGTAGAACATATTTGGTACCTCTATAATGTTCCACTAATAAAGGTTCATTTATTAAGTGAGTAGATCTCGGGATTCTGAAGTGTTCCACTTTCAGAGGTGTTCCACTTCTAGAGGTGTTCGACTTTACAGGTTTCACTGTATTTGCAAACAATATTAAAATGAACATTTAACACTATAATACAAATGAGGGCTTAGCAAACTTAAGTCTCTGATAGATGTGTGCCAAGGGGAATTTCTTTGAGATGTACCTTCAAATTTAGTTATAATTTACTACCAATGCTTGCCACACTTAAAACACATAGAATACCATACCTAGCATTACTGATTGCAGTGAAATTCCAGCTAAGGCCTTTAACGGGTTTATACTTTGACATCTCTGAACGTCTGTTGCCAGCACACTGCAACGATGCAGTTATTGTATGCTCCTTGAACTTCTTCAAGTCATCCAATGAAAATTTCTTAGTTTTTCCACTCGAAAATTCAATCTCGAGTCTGAAGGTCTTTGGATCAACGACAGGAACAGGAAGGTGATTTCTCACGAAAAAAAGCTCATTAGGCGTTATGTAGCTATCGACGACCAACTCTGGCGGGGGCTCGGCATTGAACGGTTTCAATGAGTTGATCATAAGAGCAGGATGGCGCTGCGGGTCACGTGCGAAAGGATCGTCAATATCTATGACATCTTCATTCATGTCATATTTCAATGAACCGATATGCATTTCCTGTAGAATTTCCTTGACCTCTTCACTGTTATGCACAGCATAGAGACTCCAGAATGGTTCCAAGGCACCCCCAGCGGCTAACATGATCTTATCTCCTCCGGGATGTTGCTCAACAAACTGGGTGACATCATACACATTACCCTTGTATGTCACCCAAATTCCATCTTTAACCGTATTATGTTTGGCAACCTCAGCTTTTGAGTACTCTTTGATTGGCCCTGGTGGAAGCTTTGGTATATCATCACCAAGCTTGCCTGCGGTGATGCCATCTCTCGTCACAACTTGACCTCCGGACACGTCTTGGATAGCGCTTGGTTTACATTTTGCCTGACGGTTCCAATTATACAGCACAACTCCTGGAGATAGAAAAACAAAAGTCTATTTCCCACTCTTAAATATATTATTTAATTTGAATATGATTATGAAACAAACTTTAAAAGAGATCTTAATATGAATACAAATTCAAAACTTATTAATCTCCCTATGTAGCCCGCATTAAAACAAAATTCAACAAATCTGCAAGATTTATTTTAGAAATGATAGAGAAATTGATCTGTAGATGAATAAGGGCAAAGTAAGGGTAAAAAGTCTCGGGCCTCATACTATTTTTTTAACTACTAATAAAAGTTGCAATGTTGACAATTTGCAAAAGTCAAACTTATCGCAATAAATTAAAACAATCAGTTCGAGTCCAGGTCTACCTGACCTGTGATAAATAAGTGAAGGTGACATTGGGCCCTTTTCAATTTTATACTTGTGGTCATTCTAAAAAAATATTTTTTGCATATAACCATACCCTTATACATCTGACGTGAGTTGACTATTATAAGCTATATTTGCATTATTGCCTGGTTGGAGGGAAAGATGGACTGACTGATAGATGGGGGATATTATTATAGCCTAGCAATCAAACATTATTCGATAAGAGTATAAGACAAAGGGAACATAAACAACTTTTCAAATATTCATTTCAGATTGTTAGAGCCAATTTGTTTACTTGGGCTAATTATAAATGATTGCAATAGCTCACCATGTGAGCTAAAAACTTAATGTGGCCACTTTTCATCATATAATATTTTATGAAAATTGCAAACTCAATTGACTACTTGTTTAAAGCAGAATCCTAAATTACTGCAATATACACTTAGCTAGTACTGGAGATACACTTATTTTGATGCAACTTAATTTGACAGATTTGCTCAATTTCAAATATTGGCGGCTATTTAATTTGGCGGATTCAGAATTGCATGAAGTTTAATTTTTGTCTATGTTTATGTCATTAGGACAGGTATTTACTTAGATATTTTCAATTCTGTATTTCTTTTGGAATAATGTAGAATTGATGACATGTTGACATGAAAAGGGGCCCCAGAAGTTAAATTTCTGAAGTGCATTGGACAAAAATTCCAAACTGAAATTTTACGAATTTTTAATTTGGCGGATTTTCTGAATCCGCCAATCTGTCAAATTAAAACATGAGCCAAATTAAGTGTATCTACAGTATTCCTGAATTCAACTGTCGACTGATGCATTTAAATCTGACTAACTTATTTCTATAAATTCAAATGAAATGAATATAAAATAACATTAAAATCATCACCTGTCAGTTGATAGTTGAATTCGCAAATGGTAGCTAATAGAAATCATTTCTACACCAATAATTCAAATCAGATCAGTACTTTAGATATTTTTTCTTGATGTATACAAGGCAATACCATGACTTACATCTATATGTACAAGGCATTAAGTGACAAAATGTCAACCAAATAATTTATTACAAATGACGATGACTATGTAAAAATGAAGTACATCATTCATGTACATGTTTAAAGTCCCCGTCTAAAGTTTGAAAATATTTTTTTATCATTCATTTACTATTTGTCAGGACTTAAAAAGTGATTTTAGAGATTTTTGAACAAAAAAAAAATTTTGAAAAAAAAGTTGTGAGCATTTCATTTCTCAAATATTCAAATTTCCCGCCATTTTTCATAAAAAGTTGAAATTTCTTAATCATCTAATATTTCTTAATGTATTTCAAAAAATATTATCTTTTTAACACCAATACAAAGGTTGAACAAAGGACACACTATTTCAATAATAAAATGCCATATTTAATGGGCCACTTCAATGTTTTAACATATCAAAAATATTTTGAAACATTAGTGATGTCACTAAGGTACCAAAAACTTTTTGAAAAAAATTGAAATTTTTTTTTCAATGTCAATCTTTTCTAAATATGTTAGACTTTCATAAAAAACAATGTTGATTGTCTAACCAGGTTTAAAGGAAGAATAAATTATGTTTTAGATATCATTGTACCATTGGTTTCTATGAGAACTAAAATTTTGAAATGCATTTTTCTCAGAACCATTTTCATGCACTGATAAGTTCATTTCTCGCTTATTTATGAACCGATTTTCTAAATTTTTTCGGCAAAAAACATGGGAGGATGGATGCTATGCATTGGTATGAATTGTGGCTAATTAGAAGATATGAGTGACCTCTAAAAATTGGTTTTAAATAAATTCACAAATTTTGGAACAAAAAGTCTATCAAAAACCACTTTTTGAAATTTAAAAAAAAAGTTTCACATATCACACTTTGATAACATTGGGTAAGACTACAATATAAGCCAAAGTGGTTTAAACTTTATATGGGGCCTTTAACAGTTTGTTACAGATATCAACAGCTAAATGCCATAATAATATTTTAAGACAAAACTATATAACTTTTGTTCATTTTATTGTTTTATCAATGGAACTTTTTGATTTTTTCATCAATGTTTAGTCCAAAGCATATAACTTGCAACCTTAAAGTATCAGATGATGTAACAAATATTCCAGAATTTTTTTTTGAATGACAGCTAATGCCTCTGTTACATTTGATCTAATATTTTCCAATTTTTTCATCTTGATTCAGAAGGTTTCAGTAGTTATAACCACTTAAGTCTAAGATGATTCTTCACACTATATACAGTTCCTAAATAACAATAAAAACAAATATGATTTCATATTGCACTTATCTCAATGTTGATATGTACTTCAGAACAAGTGCTACCAATCCACTTATTTGTTTACATGCAATATTTAAATACTGTAGACAATAGATAAAAGTACAAAACACTTGAAATCCTAAAAGATCAGATTAAATCTTGGTCATAAATTGACAGTATTATTTCGTTGTAATTAACTTTATAAATAAATGCTGTAAACTAGACTAGCTAGACTAGTGGCATTGATCACGTGATTACTGTATGCAGGGTGCCCAGTAAGTAGATAGCTTGTCATGACTTTGGAAGGTCAAAATGCCTAGTACAACCTTTTTCATAAAAGTGCATAATTGGGTGCTTAGGAGACTAAAAATATTACAAGAACACAAATGTGTACAAAATGTCCCCACCTATTGGTGATCCCGTCAAATGGTTATCCTAAAAATTTATCCCATTCCCGGACTATGGTCCTGTGAACATCTCAATCTTTTGCCTGTGCGCTTACAACATGGGAGAATTTTTTACTCATCTTACACTTCAGATACCTACTTCAATAGATTCCTTGGTAATTTAGCATTCTTTTCGTGTAGTTGAATCCACAATTGACTGGGTTTATCGGCAGAACGAAGACATTTTCGTTTTTGATCGCAATATTTGCGTGTAACATTTAACTTATTTCAACCGTCAAATTCCTCCATATTGGTACTTCCGGGCTACATCCGGGACAGCCAAACGGGGGATTCCCCTTTTAAATCCAACCACCATTTTGAAAAGTGATGGAATCTCTCTCGATGAAAAAGAGAAAATGTTCCCGTTCTGCCGATATACCCAGACAATCGGCGGTTCCAATATATTAGAAGTTACATCTTGAGTTCTATAATGCATTGAGGTAGGTATCTTAAGTGTAAGGGGCGTAGATAATTCTCCCAAGTAGTAATCGTACAGGCAAATGAATGCGCTCAGTGCAGGACTATAGTCCGGGAACGGGATAACTAAAAATGAGTAGAGAAGACTTTACCGACACAATTTGAGGACGGAAAATCAAAAATGGCCACCTTAAAATTTACCCAGAATGCCAAAGAATTAGTAAGAACCACCACCACCACCATACTAAGAACCACCCCTGAAAATTTGAAATTGATCCGTCAAACAGTTAACCAGAAAACATGTAAACAAGACTTTACAGACAAGATTTGAGGACAGAAAATCCAAAATGGCTGCCTTGACATTTATCCAGAATGCCAAAAAATGAATCTGTTCTAGATTTTCATACTAAGAATCATCCCTGAAAATTTGAAATTGATCTACCAAACGGTTCACCTGGAAATGCGTAGACAAGACTTTACAAACAAGATTTTAGGACAGAAAATCCAAAATGGCTGCCTTGACATTTACCCAGAATGCCCAAAAACTAATCAGATCTAGATTTTCACACTAAGAATCATCCCTGAAAATTTGAAATTGATCTACCTAACGGTTCACCTGAAAACGTGAAGACAAGACTTTACAGACAAGATTTTAGGACGGAAAAATCCAAAATGGCCGACAATAAAAAAGTGATTATGAGTTTTTGCTGAATTCTTTTCACAAAATTATCACAAATAACTACTGTTAACAATAACATAGGCTTTAACAACAAAGTACACCTGAAATTATTTATAAAGCTACTAAATAGTTAAAGTATGAAAACTGAAAAACACCATTCAATATGATACAAAGTATTATCGTGCGCTAACTTTTCTTAAAACATTCAAAATGGCTGAAATGACTGAGCTAATAGATCCAAAACCTAATCAGATCTAGAATGAAGTGGGCTGAACAATATATTAAAGTTTTAAAAGCAACTGTGAAGCCGTTTTTCTTAAAGTTTGCAAACAAGGATTTTAGCATTTGAGTTCAAAATGGCCGACAGGAAGTAGGTATCGAGTTAATTTTTTTTCATCCACATCTGTATCACCCTTGGTATATGCAGCTAACGAAAATTGACCGGTACGGGTCAAAAGCTGGACCGGTACGGGTTAACGGTTTTATTTGAATTTAAAACAGCCATAACTTGCTCAATATTGACTTCCTCGTGTCTAATTTGAAATATATGATGCCTCTCGATGCTTTTAAGTACCCCAATTTTTTACAGATTTTTAAACGGACCAAAACTCTCTAAATGCGCATTTATGCTCTTTTCTCTTGAGAACTACTGTCTCATTTTCACGATAACTTTTATTTAGTACTTCTAACATATAAGATCTATTTTTCCCCATCAAGGTATGATGTAAATGACATGCTATTTACATCTTGTGAGTTTCAATGACGCGCGTTTGATTTTATAAAAAATGCCAAACTTTGTGACAAAGAATTTCATCCTGCTTG